GACTCCAGACGAACAGCCTGAGAACCACTCCTTATAAACCTTTTTGTGGCTCAAATGTGGCCAAAAGGGTCTGGATATTGATTTGTGGTTTCTGGCCACTCTCTCCATCTCCCGTGGGACCAGACCTACTGGGACAGGTTCATCCCAACACTGAGGGACGATCAAAACCTAACTACTAGTTAATTGATCACTGATGCTTTGGGAGAGTTAGCTGGTTCAAAAGGGGGAAATGTGAGAGCTGCCAAAGCCAAAATGCTAAACATGCCCCCCCTGCCCAGTTAACTGCTGGGTAAAGTCCATGCTGCCTGCCACAGCTGGTGAGCCTGGGGTTCTGACTCTGCCCGCCACAGCCTGTGAGCACTTGGGGTTCCACCCGCGCGTGAACATCAGTCTCCAGCCATGCTAGCTTGAGTTCTGCAGAACTCCAGGCCACTTCCTAGCTGGGGCTTTGCTATCTCTGGAACGAACTGCAGTGCCCTTCCTCTTCTCCACCCTTTGATTGAGTATCTCCTATTCCTGTTTTAAGGTGTAAATATCCCCCCACCTAGGTGACCCTCCTCACCCCCTCCCTGCAGCCCCCAGCTGGTTTTGTTCTCTCCCTTCTCTGCTCAAGGGGCACCGGGCACTGTGCTGGGCTGCAGGGGCCCAACAGCAAGGGGCCCAACGTGGTCCCCGCCTGCCCAAGCATCTGCATGTATCAGGGTTCAACCAGAATCAACTCACACAGTAATAAAGCACTTTTCATTTTCTCAGATGCTGACTGGGAGTGGGATGGTGAGTTTTGTAGGGAAAAAGCAGAGGTTAGGATCCACCCGGGACTGTCAGAGAACATGCCTCGTGCATTTAAAACAAAAGTCTATGAGCTCTTACAATTCCCAGACTCACTTTGCTCTGGGGACACGTGGACCTCGTTTCTCCACATAGTTCAACATTTCTGTATTTTAACACTCTGAAATTTACTGAGGATTTTTAAATCTCATACGACCTGGCTTATTTTGTTATTTTCTGAAATATGCATGATAACTTTAGAGGTGGGGAAAATTCACTAAGCTTTACCAAGTTCTGCTTTGCTTATATATGGAGAGAATAATTGTATTGTAACATTAACAACAATATCTATAATATTAACCTCCATGAGCGGAAGGAGAAAAACAGATGAGGAAGAAATTTTTAAATAAATGCAGCACTACAACGATGCAGAGAGTTTCCATTATGATAAATCAAATGGTCTCATCACAGAGGCTGGATGTTCTCAGATGATGTTCTGGAAGAGTAGAAGGTGTGCCTCCTATGGTGGAGCCTGACCCAAGCCCAAAGTATTTTTCAAGGCATCCTTAAATTCTTTGTTCCTCAGGCAGTAGATCAAAGGGTTCAAGACAGGGGTGAGGACTGTATACGAAATGGAAATGAGCTTGTTGGAGCTCCGTGTATCAATGGCCTGGGGCCGGACATACATAAAAAGCAAGGCCATGTAGAAGATGGTGACCACGATGAGGTGGGAGGCACAGGTGGAGAAGGCTCTCCAACGGCCGGTGGCCGAGGGGATGCGCAGGACAGCCAGGGTGATGTGTCCGTAGGACAGCACGGTGGCCAGCAGCGGGAACACCAGGATAAGAAAGGCCAGGATGAAATCCACCAGCTCTGCGGTGGAGAAGTCTGTGCAGGCCAGCTTGAGGATGGGGGAAATGTCGCAGAAGAAGTGGTTCAGGACATTGGAGCCACAGAATGTGGCGCTGGAGATAAAGGACACCTTGATCACAGAGATGGTGAAGCCGCTCACGAAGGAGAAGATCACCAGCTGGACGCATAGCCCCGTGGTCATGATGGCTTGGTAGCGCAGGGGGTGGCAGATGGCCACGTAGTGGTCGTAGGCCATGGAGGCCAGGAGCACACACTCGGTGCACACCAGGGAGCTGAAGAAGTAGAGCTGGGTCATGCACCCGACGAAAGAGATGCGTTTCCGCTGCAGGAGGAAACCGTCCAGCATCTTGGGGATGATGTCAGACACGTACCAGATCTCCAGGAAAGACAAGGAGCTCAGAAAGTAGTACATGGGCCTGTGGAGGGGGGAGCTGCTCCAGACGGTGAGGACAATGGCCAGGTTCTCCACCAGGACACAGAGGTAGGTGAGCAGAAAGGCGAGGAAGAGCACATACTGGAGCCCGGGGGCTGTGGGGAAGCCCACCAGGATGAACGTGCCGACCTTGGTGACGTTCTCCCCCTTCATCCTCCTGTCCTCGGGGGTCACAGGCCTGCAAAACATCAGTGCACAAGTGTGAAGGGCTGAGGGACAGTGGGGAGGAGAGATAGCAGAGCTAAACCTTCAGGGTGGGTTTGGGACCAAAGGTGGGACACGTGGCTCCTGCAATCAGCTGGGAGGAACAGAAGCACATCTCCAAGGTAAGCATTTTACACCAGATTGTGTATGTGTTAGGTCACTCTTAGATTACGTCTCTGGAATACCCTGCCCACCTCCCCCTTCAGCTATCCCACAGTGATCTTGAAATGTTATAAACTTTTTTTTTTTTTTAATCTGGAGTTCTCAAGGAATCTAATAACAATAAAGGAAGCCCAGAGCTCTTCAAACCCTGTTCTCCTCCAGGCACAAGGCACAAGGTCATCTGGGTCTGTGGTTTGGTGTCTGGCACATTCTTTCTAAATTAGTACATATTTAACCATTTTCCTGGTTCCCAAGTTGATTTTGTAAGAGGAAGTGATACCAGGAGGGCTCCTGGGATGGTGGGGGGTGGGGACCAGGTCCAGGTCAGCAGACCAGACCCAGGCACACCTATACGGCCAGGTGTCTCCAGGTCAGCAGGAAAGTGGTCATGTTTCTATCTCTGTAGACAGAGGGTTATATCAGCAAGGGAGAGAGTTCAACACAGTTCTGGAAGAGAGAAAGCAGACGGCAGGAAGGTGGCTGGGGCAGCAGAGTGGAGGAATTCTAGAACATTCCAAGGTGCCTGTAACTGAGGAAGGAGCCATCTGCTCAGCACACGGCAAATGTGATGAGGTGGGAGTGAGAGGTGGGGTGGGTGTGAGAGGTGGGATGGACTCGGGGGGTCGTATACACTGTCTGTTTCCAGGAAAGTTTGGTGGCTGCCCGTTGTGGACATCCCCCAGAGCCAGACTCAGTGGGACAAAGGATATCCTTGTCCTGATCATGCGTCAAGCATTTTTGCATGAACCACCTGTAGTACTCGCTACAGTGCTGGAAAACAAGGTTTACATCTCCATTTTCAGATGGGAAGTCTGAGGCCCAAAGAAGAGATTCACGGACTTACCCAAGGTAGCGGCAGCACCGGGACACAGACCTGCATCTTCTGTCACCAAGGCCATCGCTCTTCCCATGAGACATCAACAACAGAAAAAATGAACCTGTTTAGGTGTGGGCTAGAAATCTGGAATTATTAAGGCGGGTAGATATAGTTGCTGGTTGCCTTCTGACACTACTCTACTAGGCAATAAGACGAAAGGTCACAAAATAAACAATTCCTCAGAAGAAAAGGCAGAGAATGCCTTCTACGAAAGAAATACAGAGGTATGGGGAATAGGCTGGTCTGACCAACTTAAAGCAAATATTTAAATTAATAAGCAAAAGACTGGGCAGCAACCTAAATTTTCACAGGACGGGTCTGGCAGAAATTTCAATTATGGTAATGTATTGAATAATGACGAGACCAAAGACTGCATGAAAAACTACAGGATAATACTAGAAACACATATCTTCCCAAAATAACATAGAAATTAAGTTACGGAAAAGAAAACCTAAACGAAAGATGGAATGGAAATATATTCATAGCATCTACCACAGCATGAATAAGTAGGAAAATTATTAAGACTCTAAATAACTGGTATGAATTTAACAGATTTTTAGAGAAAAATGCAAAGGAAAAAATAGAGAATTGTTAAAGGACCTCATTAGTGCTGGCATGCAGCAGCCATCCCACAAATGGTAGCAATAGTATGTACAGGAGTTGAATTCATGAAATAAAATAAAACAGCTTTTTTGCTAATGTATTGAAAAACACAAAACAAATTTAAATCACACTAGGGTACATCATGGACATGGACGTATCGTTCCCTCAGCCCACGCCCACTTCTGGCTTCTCTGCTGTGGCCAGCCTCTGGGCTCCTTCCCCCACACCTACCCCATCACAGCACTCCTCCCGCCGATCGCCTGTGTTCTTGCTTCCTACCTGCTAGACTGCACACTTCTGAAGGCAGGCACTGTGCCTCATTCACCCAGACCCGCAACGCCAAAAACAATTCCCAGGACACAGTGGGGACACCACAAACCTTAGATGAATGAATGTAATTGGGAAACATAAATGAATGAAAAGAGTCTGCTGAAACTGAGGCAGTGCAGCAGAAGACGGCAGACAGGGAAAAGGCACCTGTTAATCTTCACCACTGCAACCACCTGCTCCCTCTTCTGTCTCCTCTTGATCCTTAAACCCCAGAGGAATCACTTAGTAAATGTGAAACTAGAGGGAAACTTCACGACACGGGAAGACAGTGAAGTCAGCCAAGCACCAAGAGTCTTTGAGAATGCCACCAGCCTCCTGCCCAAGGTAGATGAGAGAGAGCTCAGAAAACAGGCTTACATGCTGGTGTGCAGTGAGCACTATGGCTCAGAGGACAGGGAGGGTGGGATCTGGACCTCGGGGTCCTCTGGACTGTGAGGGATGAGGGATGACAAAGGAGGGCTAGGGTGTGAGTGGGATGTATGGCTGATGGAATCTTGATCTGGAAATCCCTTTGTCACTACAAA